ACCTACCTATACATTGTGACAAGAAAGTATCCGGAAATTGTAAGTAAAATGCAAAATTTTTGATTATTGATCAATATTTATTTTGCGGGTTCAAAGTAATCACCACCAAATGTAATACGTTTATGTCAACGATTTTTCCAGTCCTCGAAACACTTTTCTTAAGCACTTTTTGGCCTTTAGTTTCTTTAGCGAATTTTTTTTTATCGATCGACTGAAAACCAGTTCCACGGGCGGTAATGTCAGTTTTGAGAACAAGCAAAAATCGCACAGAGCCGGTGATTGATCGACGGTATTCCTTGCGTTTTTGGCTTTAAACTCGGTCACGATCATGAATCGAAGCGATGGTGCATTATTATCCTGTAAAATCCATGAATTGTTCTTCCACAATTCCGTTCGCTTTCAACGAATGTTCTCACTCAAACGGCTCAATATGGCCAAATATAACACCTCATTGACAATTTGTCCCTCCGGAACAAATTCATGAGCATAAACTTAATTTTTGGGAGCAGATTTCGGCAGTTTTAATGCACTATATGAATGTGGGCTCGGAAGACGCACGATAAAGCATGTTCAAAGAGACCTATTTACGGCGTTGTTTTTGAAAAAATTGAACTTCTTGGATATGAGTCGAGCAAGAACGGCATACCCAAAATATCCATCAAAATCATTCGAACCAGACGATTTTCAACCACTATATTCTTCACTTTTTTAATATTTCCATGATTTTAAGAGCTCGAAGGTGGTCCAAAATGAGGTATGTCTTCAACGATCTCTCGACGGTTTTGAAGGCTTGGTACCACTCCTAAGCTTCTGTTTTTGATAAATCTGCTGATGTGCACCGACTTAAGCAGCTGCTCTAAACACCCTTGTTTACAGATCGCACTCATATTTGGCATTGTAATTAAGGATAAGACCGTCCTTAACTTAGCAAAATAGATTTTTTTTTTTGAAATATCATTTATTTGGTGAATTCAATTACAGTTTCCAGGGTGCACTTTTATCTCAATGAATATTTCTGTAAACGATCATTGAATATTAAAACTTGAACTGGAAAATTTTCGATTAAATTGTAATTATTTTTTATTTAATAAATTCTACCGATAAATGCCTAAACCAATTGCCATATACCAATTTTATTCGATTTTTCTTAATCTTCATACATAATTAATATGCCAGTGTTCATAAATATTTTCTAAAATTAAAATGACAAAAAATGTATATAACTTTAAACTCAAATTCGTGACGGTAAACAATAAATTCGCTTAAATTTTATTTAAATCGTCGAAATCTTATACTTCATTGAGCGAATCAAGTGGATTTGCTGTAGATGTGGTAGTTCTTGGTTTCCGTGTAGTTGTTGTTGTAGTGGGATCTTCCCATCCCTTGACGACCAATGCGTCTCCAAACACGGGTTTGAAGAATAAGACAAAGCGTGAGTAACGACGAGCAGAATTCTGAAATAAAATAAATATTCAATGAAAATAAAATTGCTTACGTCATAGGTATTTAGGCGAGAAAAAACCAATTTTTTATAATTCAGTTTACAGTTAAAGTTTTTTAAATTTATTTTGGGTTCAGTGAAAAAAATACATATATAAACTTTCTGTTAGCACAATGTGCTCAATGTAGCTATTAAAAGCTTTCAAGCTCAATATGCTCAATTCAGCTGTTAAAAAGCTTTCAGCAAAAGCTTTTAACATCTAAACACGCTTTCAACGGCTTCAAAGCTGTAACAGTATAAACAGTTATTTTAGCTTTCCGTTACAACTGCACAATCAGCTTGAGCTTTATAAAGCTTTATGTTGAAAAGTTTATTGTTATATACTATCTTACCAGTCAAATACTGATTTAAACTTTTATATAATGCGTCGCTTATCTAACAATTGACCTTATATGTGTTAAGCTTTAATTTCGTATATAAGCTTACCATAATAAGCCTTGAAAACGATTTGGAGATGTTTGTTAAAGTTGCAAATGACTTGTTAAAAAGTTCTTCGGGAAAGTCCAAAGACACTTGCTTTCTATCGAATTCCGGTACATCGTCATACTTGTTGTTAGTGTTAGCTGTAGCACGGTATGGACGTATTAGACGGTTGGTCTTCAGCGAAGCTAACTGAAAATATTTAAAGGAAATAATGTAAATTCTTACAACCAAAAGATGGCAAAATGTAATGGGAGTGGGAAAATTCAAATAAATAACTGAAAACACAATATATTGAAAACTAAAAATGCGAAAAGAGGCCGTAATGATTTTCATTAATGTGTATCGTTGTAAAACATGATAAACTCATATTAGCTAAGTATATGTAGGGCACAATAGACCTTAGGTCGTAGTGCGATCCATATTTACTTATCTAACTAGTATATGTAGCCAAGTAGCACAAATATCCAACTTCATTCGCTATAGTTTTCGAAATGTAGCCAAATCGAAGCAGTGATCTGATAACTATATTCACAAAATGATTGACAGTTGATTTAGTTTAACCGGTTTACTGAAATTTGTATACACTTTGACCAATCAGTACACTGATATTCTAAAAGTATAGTATAATCATTATGAGGTTTTCTCTAAATATTCGCACTTCTTGACACTGAATTATGTTTGTTAAAATAGAAAAATCTGGAGAAATTTGATTGACTTGGTTTCCTTTTATAAAAACCTTTAGTCACACATTAAATATTTCGCAATTAAATTTATAATAAAAAGCAGAAAAATATTAGCATACTTTATTCGACAACCGAAGTACTCCTATAAGCAAAAAATAGTAAGCTTTCGTTAATAATTTCTCAAAATCCATGTAGTCCCCTTCAAAGTAATCTCCTTTGGCCTCAATACACTTGTGTCAACATTTTTTCCAATTCTTGAAACTTTTGTTAAAATCAATTTCTGGATAGCTTTTAATGCCTTCACTTGACTCAAGACGGTTTTTTCGGATCACTTTTGGGAGTTTGCTGAATTGCCAGCAGTTACGCAGAGCTAAATAAGGTGAATGCGATGTTGCGACACGATATTGGTTGGAAATTTGACGAAAAACTCACCAAAATGCAATGCAGTATGCGGCAGTGCATTATAGTGGTGCCCATAATTCTGACCTCTTTTAAGGAGTGCATCATACCTTGATAACCGAAGAAATCTGTTAACATAACTTTGCTTTTTGCCTAGCTTTGATTCTCGACCTACTTTGATGTGGATTTTCGGCTTCGGCTAACCTTTGCCATGATATTCGGCCGATTGATTGTCTTTCCCAGGTAGTAATCACAGTTCCAAAACTCATTGCCAGTAACAATAAATATAATGATATCCTGGTAGTCGGACGACATTGTTTTACAAATGTTAATCTGACGCTGTTTTTCGAAAAAAAAAATGTGATTTTATAACCAATCGTGCTTTCACTTTTCTTAGACCCAATAGATCTTTCAACATAGTTTTCACAGATATTTTTGATATTCCAACGATTTGAAGATTTTCGATGGTTTACCATCGATTCTCAGTTGACGTTGATGTCCGTCCTGGACGTGGTCCACCGTCAACGCAATCAAAAACTCTTGCTCGCCATAAAAAATTATCAACGAAGGCTTGAACTTTCAAAGCACATGAAATTTAATGACTCTTCTTTCTTTAATAATTTCACTCATAGTAAAAATCACCGAACGCACATCATGTCTTCAGAGAGACATATATGCTTGTCTAAACACTAATGATTATTTTGATGTGGCATTTGTCACAATTTTTTTTCTCACAGTACTATATTTTCTCATTGTTTATGTTTGGTTGAGACAAAGAAAATAGAAAAAGAGCGAAAGAATCTCTTTGTGTTATAAAAGAAAAATGCTGGAAAGAGCGCAGTTTCAAAATGATGAATGCTTCAAGTTAGACAATAAAATCCTTTCCAATTCAATCAAAGTGTTCACATTTTATCGAACTTAGATTATATAATAGAACGTAACAAACAATATCCAATATCTAAAGAGAACTAGATTTGAAATTAATACTTGTGTCGAATTTTTTTATATACAAAGAATATTACAGGGATGACTATATAATTACATTTTGTCACCACACAGATTTATCTTTATAAACCATGATGGATAGCTTTCGAAAGCAAAAAATCATGGTAAATTAAATTCATTGAAACAAAAGATAAAATATATAATATTAAAGAAAAAATAATTTACGGGCTATCTGAGGTCGGGAAGAGGAAAGGGAGGGGCGTGGTTCAACGTTCAAGGGTTAAAAATGATATATGATAATGAAAAATGATGAGATATCCATTTCTGGCAAAACTACCAGTTCTGGTCTTTACCATTTTCTGGATACCAAAACACAACAAATATATATATATATATATATATATGAATGTATTTACAACTTTTTTATATCCACCTTTGACACAGGACTTCAAAAATTATATGAAAAATTTAAATAATTAAGTTTTTAGGTTTCCTGCGATAGCAAAACACAAAAATATATGTATATATATGAAAGGATCTACGTATTTTGGTTTTCCATCTTTTGGAAAAAACCTCAAACTTTATCTGAAATTATCAAATACCCAAGTTTTTTATTTTTTATTTTGATCTTCGTTCGTTCGCTTACCCTTTTCACGTAATCTTGTGAAAATATTGACTTTGCAATTTCTGTGACTATATATAACTTCCCATTAATAGCAGACTTAATTTTCAAGAAAGGCTGTTGAAACTTCTACCGTTAGGTCTTTATCATCATTTCAGCCCCTTAGATAGACATGAAGCTCTTTACATAAAAAAATTTGCCATAGAAAGTGGCGGCTGCCATAAGCAAAACATTATTTTGGTTGTAAAATAATAAAAAAAGAAGTAACAAAAACACACGCTTCAGAAACCAAATATATATCGAATGATTTATTTAAATCCTGTACAATTATTTACAGTTATTAATGATATGGTTTACAATCGTATGTAATGGGAACGTAAAAAATTCTTAAATTAAACTAAAAATACAAAAAAAAAAAAAAGCAAAAAGTTTATAAAAAAATATTTTTTCGAATTGTTGGAAATTTAGAAATATCAAATCGAGTATGGTTGCCTACATAATAAAATTACTAATATACGCAGAAGAGTTTAAAGAGAGTATAACAAGAACAATACATTATGTACATAAGTATATTCAAGAATAGTAGGAAAGCATTGCTTTCGAAGTTTAAAAGGGTAACTTTACAGTATTCTGCATTAAATAAAATAGAGTTGAAATTTAACGTATTACATGCGCTGTATGCATGTATGTATGAGTATGTGTGCGCGCTTCGCCTTTGTACATGTGTTTAATTGTATGGGTGTGTGTGTGTCTCTCAATGAAAGTGCATTCTCAAATGTGTATGTGGATCGATATTTCGTTAGCAGCGCGTAACAATAATTCTGTATTGAAGTGTATAGCCAGAGAAGAATTTGTAAATGTATTTATATATATATAGAAGTACATATGTATTTGCATACGTCACTAAATATATACACGTATTTTAGTTAACATCACAGCAGCCACTTGCAGCAGCCTTAATAGCCAGCCTCGTCGGTATCCGGCGCAGCTGTGGTACCGCCACCAGCAGGACCAGCTGCAGAGCCTTGCAGAATCGGACCAGAGAAGCCGAGGAACTTCGACACGATGTTACCTAAACCAGCATTTGCATTGCCATTGCCCGCTGAAGAACCGCTGAAAGCGGTGATTGTGGTCAGCACGCCAGTGGTCAAATCGTTGGCAATATTTCCCAGTGAGCGTATTTTGGGCGAAACTACGGCGGTAACGAGCGTTTGGAAGTCCTTAATGGGCACGGGTTGCTTAATGTCATATTGCCTGTTCTTCTCGATGTTGGCACGATCCAGCTGCTCGATGACACGTGTTTTGGTGTCGAGGAAGTTGTCGATTTTCTGTGCAATAAAAATTGTTATGTTAAGGAAATATTTGTTGCAATAATTTCAAAATAATGCTTACACCAAAGACAAATCCCAGCACTGCGTTCTTGGCTTCGAGAGTCGCATCGGGTAATTTTCTTTTGTTGCGCTCAAGATCATCGCCTGAAACTGCCTGCAAAACCGTAATCAAAAGTTGTGTTAAATATTGCTTTAGAAAATCGTCGAATTTTTGAAAAAAAATTGAACTCGCACGGCCACAAGGCTAAACTTGTTTTTGAAATAGTTATGTAAGGATGTAGATATAGGTTTTTTATTCTATTGCATTACCCAATCCACAAAAATCCCACAAGCTGTGCCAACTACCGTGGGATAAGATTCCTCAGCCTCGCATATAAGCTTCTTTCGAGCTTATTATGTGATAGACTCAAATCCACCGTCAACAAACTGAGTTAACCTTATCAGTGTAGCTTTAGGTTTGGAAAATCAATAACTGACCGGACTGAGCAGATATTCACCATGCTCTAAATCTTGGAAAAATATCGTGAAAAGAGGATCGAGACACACCACCTAATCATCGATTTCAAAACTGTTTTTGATAGCACGAAAGGGAACTGCCTTTATGCCGCTTTGTCGAATACGGCTGTGTAAATTTACGTTGAGCAACACCAAAAGCTCCATCAGGATCGGGGAAGACCGCTCCAAATCGTTCGATATTAAACGAGGTTTTGGACAAGATGACTCCATATCATGCGACTCATGGAGGAAATAATTCGAGAGGCAGAGCTGAATAGAGAAGGTACAATCTTCTGTAAGAGTGTGAAGTTGCTGGAGTACACTGTGGGGAAGATTTTGATATCATTGGTTTCTACAACCGTGCCGTTAGTTGTGCTTTCTTCAAACAGGATAAGAAATCGACGTAAATAGATCTGAAAATGAAAGAAACATCTCCTGTCGTCAAACAAACAGTCATCCCACTCTCGCCTTGGCTCTCCCATCACTGTTGACTGTCATAACTTTGAAGTTGTAGATAATTTCGTCTATCTTTGAACCAGTGTAAACACCACCAACAATGTCAGTCTGGAAATCCAGCGCAGAATAACTCTTACTAACAGGTGCTACTTCGGACTGAGCAGGCAGTTGAAAAGTAAAGTCCTTTTGACGAACAAAGACAAAATTCTACAAATCATTCATCATCACCATCCAGCTGTATGGTGCAGTGGCATGGACGATGACAACATCTGATGAGTCGACGTTAAGAGTTTTCCAGGGGAAATTTATAGGAAGATTTATGGTCCTTTGCGCATTGACAACAGCGAGTACTGCAGTCGAACGTAGAACGATGAGCTATATGAGATATCCGACGACATTGACATAGTTCAGCGAATTAAAAGACAGCGTACGAATCGAAGAAAACACTCCCACGGAGCAGAGAAAGAGGAAAACCTACACTCCGTTGGAAACACAAGGTGGAGAAGGACTTGGCTTCGCTTGGAATCTCCAATTGCCGCCAAAAAACAAAAAGGAGAACGGCTGGCTGTTGTAAGCTCGGATTTGACCACCTAAGACATGTCTACGCCAAAAAAGAAGAAGAAGGTATTTGTAACTGGTGCTTAAGAAGCCACAATTAAATTAGCCTAAACTATAAAAAAAATTTTAAATTCTGAAATGCAAGACACTGAAAGCCATAATCAAAGTTAATGCAAATATGATAATGCCATAAAATCGTTGCTATTTGCACTTTGATACAGTCATAAATACGTGTCTTTAATTGCCGCTTAAGACATGCAAGTGGCCACACAATTGACTTAGCAGAGCATTAAACGATTAAGGTCGCCGAACAATTGCGCAATTTTTGCTGAAAAATAGATTTAATCAATGCGAAATCTTTGCAGCAATTTTCAGCTAATCGTTGTAGGCTACTACACAGTTAAAACTGTTTATATTTAGTTAACGAAATTTGCATTCAGAGCAAAGTTCATCAAGTTCATATAGTTGTTTGTTTTTTCTTTTCAATAACCACAAACTCACCAATTGACTTAATGAAATGGTGAGTGACCGATTTGCAGTTGGACTATGTCACTTCACCTCTGACAACGCGAACGAAAATCCGGTTTCAAGTTTACATTCATTTAGAAAAACCAAGATTTGTGCATAAATATCTTGTTCAAGCTTGTTTTTTTTTTTTTTTTTTGGTTTTGTTTTTGTAATTTTTTCAATCTAAGATATGCTTTTTTTTTTCAATCCATCTCTTAATATCATATGCGCTAGCCGCGTTCGACTTGACCCAGTTGAAATATAAATAATTGCACAAGCAACAAAAAATATATGACATGATATAAAACCGCAAAAAAAAAAAACATGAAATTCGCTAATTTAAAAAAAAATTTCATATTGTCCAACAAATTAGCATTGTCATAAAGTTTTAGTTAAGACAAAGCGTGTTTGACAACGCAGCATTTAACTGTCCATTGGCGCCTCAATTGTGTAATTATATGATATGTGGAAAATAAGATGCGGTTGACACAACCTATCATTGTCGGCTAGAAAACTGGCTACAACATGCAATAAAAATTTGTTGTAACTAGAACAAATAAACGCATTAATTTATATTATTTATTTATGCAATCTGCGCTTGAGCTAACTTGTCATTGCGCTTAGTTAATAAATCGCAGTTATGCTTTTAGTAGGAATTTAATTGTCAACCAATTTGTACTGATTTAATTTTGAAGGTTGCGCGGTTAAATCAATTGAATTGACATTGAAATTATTATAAAAGATTACATTTTTAAAATATTTCAATTGCATTTTTCAAAACTACCAACGGCGTAACTATATAGTAAGCAGTCTGAAAGCTAGTAACTTACTTGGCGTTGTTCAAGCAACGATTTTCCATAATTTCCATAAATTAAGTATGTTTCGCTTTATTCAATGGTTATCAGTTAAACATAAGCACCTTGACTTCGAATATTGGTCTTGATTTATCAATACTTGTTGACATCACAGCTGCTGTTAGTGAAACACTAAAAGTTTTTTTTTTTTTTTCGTTCAATGAAACTGAAGCCGCCTATCATACTTTAATCTTGAGAAATTTTGTATACATTTTTGTGCGTTATGCATTAAACTTTACTATTTTCTAAGCAAAGGTATTGATAGGAATGCGTTTTGTAATGCCAAAACAATATTATAATCAGTCAGAATTGTCTGAACCTTACTGTCTGGAACCCAATAACGCAATGGACCTTTATAAGCCCCACAACGAGGGAGAAGCAGCCTTGCTGAGGGCAAAGAGATCACTAAATCTCTTGCGATCGTTCTTGGGCCAAAGGATTTTGCCACAGCGCATGTTTCGATGGTAGTCCAGCGCTGACCAAGCTTAATGCGAAGCCCAGCTATCTAGTAGTAGAACACAAGAGGATATGTGAGTACCGAGCCGTTCCCATGCTACCCAAAGTGATTCTTGCATGCCTTTTCTTGCTATTTCATTAACTTTACAGTTTCCTGCGATTCGGCTGTGGTCTAGCACAGTTACCAGTCTTATCATAAATACACATCTTTGACCAGCCCTGAACGTACTCTTAATCAGTTCAAACTAGTATTGCTCATCTGAAATCTGAGTGGATGGTCCCTTCTCTAAAGAAGGCTGCACTCCGGAGCAGTAAATCTACTGTTACCTTAATGGCTGTAACCTAGGTCTGAAATAGTCAGGAAGTCTGAAACTGGAGTTTGTAAAAAGCTCTTCACAGTAAACCCCTCCACCAACCTTTCCCCAGGCTTTGACTCATCCGTAAAGAAGCCTGATGGCTCTCTACTCCAACGCCAGAGTTCTTTTTGGCGATTTCATGATCCAAGTGATCCGGTATGAAATCAAAGTGTAACAAAACGGTCAATTAAGAAAAGTGACATATTTACCACCTAAAAATAGCTAAATTTTGTAATTTTTTATAAAAACGTTTGCATGAAATATAATCATAATAATATAATCGATAGACTGGTATTTTTTTTTTATGTTTTATTAATAAATATATGCAAAAATTTCCAAATAATATTTAGGATACAATTCGCTATTTCCCAAGTTACTCAGCAATCCTACTGTGGTGACTTCACCTTGATTGAATCAAAAAAATAAAATTGTTAGTCTGTATAGGTCTACACAAGAAGCTCCGATTACCAAGAAAAATTTAAATTTACTATAAAAACATTTTGGAAAAAAATAGAAATTTGCACGTGAAGAAATTTCGAAGGATTGAAAACTTTTTTTTATTACGAAATATTTCACTAAACATGTTTTTTATTTTTCTGTGATGTTTCCTTCTACGGGTACACTTATACGGATAAACGGCTTTTTTATTTTGCCCCAGGAAGACAATGGTGGTTTCTGATTGTTTCGCCGTGGCACACTAAAAACGAAGCTCGAGATTCAAACCTAATAAGTATTTCATTAGTTCTGCGAATGGAGAATACATGAAAACTTCAATTGTTTAACAAAAAATTATGGAAAATATCATTATTTAAACAAATGGACCGTGAAAAAGTATTTAAAATATAGCACGAATAATTTTCTTGGACTTCACAAAATTTCATCGATTTATCTGCATTAGTTTATGAGATAATAATTTTCTAATTGTAGCGTACTCTAATATCAACCTTCAATAACTTTAACAAAACAAAGAATTTTGAGGAAATATTTATATCACAGGGTATGTGTCTGGTCTCCTTCCCAATGAACTGCTAATTTTCAAAATCGGTGATTTTGACACATATTTTACAGACTTTAAATGGTGTAAGATGTAGATTTTTCAAATGAATATCAAATGTATAAGAGCAGTAGAACCGAAAAGTCGATTCTTTTAATTATCTTATTAAATTTTACAACATCTTTAGAATATTGCCTTAAATTTTCAAGTTGATCCGAGTAATAGTTTTGGAGATACAGCTTTGAGAACTTGGGCGCTCGAATCTATTGTTTTACTCGAAACTGTGTTTTAGGAGTCGATTGGTAAGATTTGTCGAGAAATATTCAAACGATCTTGATGAAATTTTACAGGAATATTTTTTTTTTTCAATTACAACTATTTGAAGAAAAAAATGTCGGGAAATTTTAATTTTTTTGTAAAAATGTCTGCCAAAAATCCAATTTTTATTTATTTTTTTCATCCAAGTTGTAAGTTAAGG